GGTTAGGCGTTCGCGCACAATGCCGAAGGTCCTGGGTTCGAATCGTGCGGGCTGCAGGAGTCGTGGAGTCCCATACCAGGAAGAAACGGCCGTCCACTGCTTCCATGTTTCTAACGATGGTGGTCCAACATTGATCGATTCATGGTTTCAAAAAATATGTAACTTAACAATCTTCACAACCCCGTAATGCAAAAATTAATAATCACTAACTAACTAACTTTTACTATAAATAAAATAATTCATTTATAAGATATAATTTATCAATTTAGAATAAATTGAATATTGAATATTTGTTTTAAAAAATTTAAATAACATTTGATTTGAATTCGTTTCACACAACAATGAATCATCACAAAATGAAGGCATATTTATAAAAAAAACTTAGCTGTCATTAAAAAATATCAAATATTTAGTTATTAATCATTCACAGTATTACTGATATTCACGCTATGATTGATAGGCAATTATTAATAAATGAGAAATTTTGAACATTTACACTGCCTTAAATACTTCATATAAATACTTTCATTAATGAAGTCTATAAACTATTGAACATTGTCATTCGAATTTTTTTTGTTTAAATCATTCAGTCACTTCTCGATAATCAATAATTCAAGGCTTCTTTATAATAAATATTATAGGAATTTCAAGACTTTTTTTTTCAATCAATAAATACAAAAATGTTAATCATTACAACTCATTCTCAAAACCTTTTAAATTTCATTTGAAAAAAATGTTTTGTTAGATTGTAGTTACTCATTTCAATTCTCCTATATGATTCTGTTATGACTTGCCAATCGATATGCTTGAACTATTACAAGTTCACCTTAGTCGGTAAACGAGAGCGGGACAAATGATACAGTGACTCAATAGGCTACTCTAATCCGAGCATTTCAAGGTCCCACTAAGTAAAAGAACAAGTTTTGATGTGGCACAGAAAGTGTATTCCACAAACACCCAGAAAATATGAGGTTTTGTACAGAATAAGAACAGGAGCATAAAACTTTACAGACAATGCATATTTATACAGTTAGGTTGCCCGTGAATATTAACCAATAGGAAACAACATTTAAGAGTATGTGAACTTGATAGTTTAGGATGACCTTAAATAGGAATGGACCAATAGAATTAGACTTACAAAATAATTTCTTTATGATATTTGATGAATATTCTAACAGATTCATTAAATCAAATCACGATATCACAGACATACATGATATGTTCAGAAGACTGTGTGCACCAGTTCAACTCTTTAATTTAATGCATATTATTTCTGATATAACTTATTTATTTTAATTTGAGGATAAAGAGTGCATATCGAAAAGGTATCGGGAAAATCGTACAATCAGATTGACTGAAGTAAAGTGATCGAATGTGTTTGATCTTCCTTTCGAATCTCTGATCTAAGTTTACCTCGTGTTAATTTTAAAATTTTTTTCTCTATTCAAAAGAAAATAATGTAAACATGTCTTGTTTTTCCCAAAAGAATGGATTGAGACTGAAACTGTGATTGATTACTGAATAGTAATCAGTGTTTTGTGTTGCCTAGCTCGTAACGCTAAAAAAATACTGTTACTTAATTAATTACGCAGTAATTAGTGATTGTAAAAATATATCAGCACTATAGTAGGTAAGTTGTGGCCTGAACCTCGCAGTGATAAAGTTTTAGGGCAGAGTTTTCTGGAGGTTTGTGTTTTTACACATTTGAAATCATCAATCAATCAAGATCCGTAGATCAATCAGAGTTAGACATTAACATCGTTGGATGCCGGCCCAGTGGTTAGGCGTTCGCGCACAATACCGAAGGTCCAGGGTTTGAGTCCTGCGAGGTGCAGGAGTCGTGGATGCTTACTGCCGCTGATGAGTCCCATACCAGGACGAAACGGCCGTGTTTCAGTGCTTCCAGGTTTCTAATGCTGGTCTAACAATGACTGATTGATGATAAAGTTTTAACTAGTACAAAAACTTGATCTAAAGTTTTCTACCGATTAACCACATCTATCTACTATCAGAAATGAGATTTGTTTAAAATTATAATGAATAATAAAACTGATAGGTATTCACTGAGATTAATGCTAAGAGATGCATATTTAATGAATAAAGAGAAGTAGTTTTTCTCACAAATTGAGTGTATCAGTTTTACTTCATCAGCTAAGGTGGTTGGGACATGTGTTACGTATGGCTAACTACCGACTGCCTCGACGAGCTATGTTTTGTGGTGTAGGAGTAGGTTGGAAGAAAGTTAGGGGGGGCCAAACCAAAACATGACAGAAGTCCATGAAATCACTGACAAGTGGACTGAGTCATGTTGGTAGATATAGGCTACGTGGTTGGGCTCCGCGAGACGATAGTCACCAATGGTTAGAGACCTTGAATGACATGGCTGATGTGGTATGGCAATCTGAACTTATGTACTCATATACGAAGTTCTGCGTTGTATCTGCCTGTCTGTCTGTTTTACTGTAATAAGAAATTCATTACACATCTGATTCATCAATATTCAAGAATCCTGATCAGTGATCATCTACAAATCCACATAGATTCTCAAATAACACGTTGAACATAAGATTTTTCTATCAATTAAAACATGAAAATATTCAATTTAGAATGAAAATCGCTATTTATTATACTCTCTTACTTTTCACAGTCTTCTTCAATTGATATTTGTTTAAATGACAATTGTTGTAGTAAATCACTCTTTTGTTTTTGCAAAAACGATAATTATTCAAACAAGTAAATGTTAAAAATAGCAAACATCATTTGATTGGTTAATTTAATTTTTTTTATTTAAACCTTCATTTTATGTTTGTTGACTAGATTTGGAGAGTCATAAAACAAAACAAAAAATGTAAAAATAAGTAGTAATATTTTCTGTAGAAAACTTCCACTACAATCTATCATCATCATCATGTCGTTGATCACAATTATTCTATTCGCTGTTATGATAAATTCATGACAAACAGTTTCTAGTCCAATTAAATGCCAACAGATAAGTATGTAAATTACAAATTCCTCTAAGTATTTATGTATATATATATATATATAGACATATCTAAGGCCTGTGTGAAAAATATGCTTTTCCAAAAAAGAAATAAAAAATAAGCTTTTATGCAACTCTATATGGGAATATATGATAATTCTGTAAGTGAACAACTCTTTTGTAAATGATTTGATTGAGTTTATTGATTGGGACATGAGCTTTTAGTTAGAGAATTATAAAATAAACAACTTTTACCGAGGTATACTCTTCAGCATGTTCTCTAACCACTTGTTTTGTAGAAACTTATCTGATTCATTAAAAGAAATTTCTTGTTTTATTCTCATAATACCTATCTTTCTCCTGCTAAATTTATCTTACTGAATGATACTTCTCGAATCATATCTTCGCACCCTAATCTACTCCATTACTGCTAATACTTCTGTAGTGAAGGAGGAAACAGGTGAGGGCAACCGAATTATATTTATCGCAAATTACAGAGTTAATCAGTAAAATAGGAAAACCATATCGTAAACGGTTAATTTGCAAATCTTCAATCCATCATCAATCCATTGTCTGACATTTCACTATTCATGCGTTTCATACAAATTCCATTGTGTTCCCACTCTTCCTTTCTTGATCTTCCCTCATCTTCTGCTGCCAGACATTACGTTGACACTCACGTCATATACTACTTATAAGTAGCGCGCACCACACTTCTACTATCGCTATCACTCTTGGATTTGAACTAACAGTTGCATCTCTGTGGTATGGCAATCTGAACTGATGTACTTACATACGAAGTTATGTGTTGTATCTGTCTGTCTGTCTATCTATCATTTCTGTATATCATCCATATTTCTTCTCACCTATTGTCTTTTTAAATAAATACTTGTTATCGACGTTTGTAAATAAATAATTTGTAACCGTTTTAATAATAATTTTTAACTATTTCTTATTCTAAAAATTTCTTTCTTTTACAATACTTAAAGTTGGACATTTTCAAAGGAGAACAAAAGATAAGAAATACTTAAAAATTCATATAACAGACATTATACAGTTTTATTTTTTAAAGTCATTTGATGGATATCTTGCATTAAATCAATAAACTTCACTATTTAAACTAGTACATTTAAAATAAATACTCAAGACCAATTATATTATTTCCCCATAAAACATGTTCTCTTCTGTTGCTTTTATATAAATCCAATCTTTGTGTGTGTGTGTGTGTGTGTCTTATCATGTATTATTAGAGATATTATTTTACATTTTTCTAATTAGCTTTGAATCGAACATCTTGTCAGTAATAGTTATAGTAATAATAAAGTTTCCGCCTCATTATAGTAGAAGTATCTTGACATTTGTATCGGAAATCGTGTCTTTGATGTTTGTTGTTGTTGTGTTCGTCACTAGGTACGCTTGAAGCTATTACGAGTTCACCTTAGTTGATAAACGCGAACGAGACAATGAACCAGCGTCCAGATAGGCTACCTTGAATCCCAAGCTGAAGACAGAAGGCTTTGTAAGCGTAGAAAGTATATTCTACAAACACCCAGCAATCACACAATACAACCAAGCAGACAACACTCGTTTATTTATACATCATACAAACATCCTTGGGACAGTCACCAAAAAATAGCACACTAAAATACACAGCCGTCAATCACAGTCATGGATTTTGCTGGTGGGAAATGAAATCTCAAGGTCAACTGATCATCCCATACTGGTAAACGTGAAATCCAAAATAAGGCATTTATCAAGCGAGTTCTAGGGATCTAACATTCCCAACAATTTACTACTCATTTTAAGGATAATTTAATGTGAAACTAAACAAATGCTAAGATTTATTATTAAATTCTTAAGTTTTATATGGTGCAAATTCTTGAGCATTCACTCATTATATGTAACACATTCTATACTGAATTTTAAAATGTTTTCAGACTTTAATTTTTCAAAACTATGAATACATTTAAGTCTATTTTGTAAATACCTTGAATTTATTAATACAATTTAATTGATTGACATGGTTTCTTTGTATTGTTTCCTTTTAATTAATAGAAATAAAAATCGACAGCTACACAATACACAAATTAATAATTCACTCACAGAATTTGATAGTAGTTGTACAATGATGATGAATTCCACGTCACAAGTCACTAATATGATACATTCATACCGGTTACCAATGTTTCCGACATTACTTACAAAATCAGAAAATATACAAAATTATTATTATAAATCAGGAGAACAACGAACCAGTGACATTGATGATACTACTACTGATTCAAATAAATCACATATTACATTAGCATCGATTGTATCGAATTCAAATAATTCCGCGAAATTTGCAAATCCTCATCGATTCAATGATCAATTAATAAATAAACTATCCTCCAATCAACGTGGTGAATCGGTAAATTTCGCAAATTTAAATTCTACTGAAAATAAATCAGATAATCGAAAAAAGCATGATTTAATGAAAAAAGATGTCATCAATAGTAAAGAAATGAATTTATTTAAAAATGAAATAGATAATAGTTGTAAATCTAAAGATGATGATAATAATAATCATCATAATGGCGCAAATGATCTTACTAATCGTGTCAGACATATTGATAAGTTATTTTGTGAATTATCTAGAAAAATGGTAAGTTTTGGCGTTATTGCATTTTATTTTTTTTCTGGTATTTTATTAAAATTGTTATTTGTTACATAATTTGTTAATTAGGCTTCTTTGCAAAAGTTTCATATAATTTAATATAAATGACTTTGTAATCTTTTCATATTGATTCAGTCAGTCAGGTGCAACGTACAACTTTGTACGTAAGTACATCAGTTCATGTTGCCATATACACATCAGCAGTGAGACGACATTGTCAATTCAAATCCAATAGTAGTAGAGGTAGTAAGGGAATTAGAAGTAATCGAAGAGGTTAGGATTAGAAGATATTATTATGATTAAATGAGAAAAGTTTAGAAAGTCAAAACTAGAAGGGTTGAAGAATCCAGAAGATTAGGATTTGAGAGAACACAAAGAATAAATGCACCGGCGCCATTGCAAACGGTTTTGACCCATGTCATTCAGGGTATCTAACCATCGATTATTATCATCTCGCGGACCCCAACCAGGTAGTCGACAATTACCGACATGGCTAAGTCCACTCGTCAATGACTTCATGGATTTGTGCCATGTTTTGGTCTGGCCGCCCCTAGCTTTCTTCCAACCTACTCCTACACTACAAAACAAAGCTCGTCGAGGCAGTCGGTGGTTAGAAATACGTAACACATGTCCCAACCCTCTCAACTGATGAAGTTTCAGTACATCATCAATTGATCCGCCACTCTTACCTAGCACCCGTTTCCTAATAACAGCGTTGCTCACTCGGGTGTCCCAGGATATACGAGCAATGCTTGGAAGACACATATGATCGAAATCCAGTAACCTACGAATATCTTCTATTCTCACTGGCCATGTTTCACAGCCATAAAGTAAGACGGAGTGAACTACTGCACAGTAGTCAGCAAACGGATATCACGCCTACGCCATAAATGACGCAACTTGGCAAAAGCCAATCGAGCCTTCTGTATCCGAGCTGAGATTTCGTCAGTCACCAGGCCATCAGCGCTGATGAGACTCCCAAGATAAGTGAAGCGGTCAACACGCCCGACTACTTCACTCCCTATCACTAGTTCATATTGGTTCATAAAATATCAGGTGGATAATTTAGATGCTGCTACTCGTTTGAATTTAAGCATTATTTTGATATTTTTAATGATTCTGATTAATAATTGTATCCTGTTAAATATTTGAATACGATTCGTAAAACTAATTAGTAGGCTGATTCTTATCAGCATATTAATAAAGCTCTAAACCATAAACTCTAAGACTATTAATGTCAACATCTTCATAATGAAATTATCGTTTTAACTGTAACCATAGTTTCCGCATTAATAAATCAATCTATCTACCCCATTAATAAACTAAACTAATTAATAGATACAGAAAATATCCTTTACTAAGCTCTCTAAAATTATAATATCATGAAACTGATGACCATCCAATCATATGACAAATAAATTCTAGTCATGAGTCTTTACTAATAATCATACAACTGATCAAAGTACTTTTCCGGTCATCATTTGCATATTATCCTAAAAGACGTTTATTAGCTGACTAAATCTAGATTAACACCATGTACATCTTTACATAAAATTATCATCCAGCTATAAATAAGAAAAACTTGATGAATTTTTGTTCAGAAATTAAATGTTACTATTGTTTTAGTTAAAACTTGAATTCTTTTTATATTTCTACTATAAAAAAAGCGGGAACTTTATCTATTGAATTTTCAATTTCTTTTGATTGTTTACATTTCTTTTATTACGTTTGTGTTGTTTTGAAATTCTTTCATAAATAAAAAATTTATTTTTATTTATGATGAATACATAAATAAATAGTAAGAAGTACCAATTTCTTCCTTAATTTTAATTTTTATTAGATTACAGTAAATAAAAGATCAATAAAAATCATCTTCATTACTTATATCAATCAATTCAGATTATTTAATTTGATCAGAATTCAATTTCTGGTGTAGTTTTCTTTAAAATGTAATGTATCTGTATTTTATTACAGTTGTATGTTGTTGTTTTTTCTTTCTATATGCGAGTGTATAAGCTCTCACACGATGGTTATGGAACTGAATCATATAACAGTCTTATATTTGTGCTATGTTGATTGTTTGTGCCCATTTTCATAATTGTTATCATCAAAAGTATGATATGATTGGTTGGGACATGTGTTACGTATGGCTAACCACCGATTGCCTCGAAGAACTTTGTTTTGCAGTGTAGGAGTAGATTGAAAGAAAGCTAGGGGCGGCCAGACCAAAACATGTCAGTAATGCATGAGGTCACTGAAAAGTGGACTGAGTCATGTTGGTAGATTTAGACTACTTGTCTGGGGTCCGCGAGACGAAAGTCACCAATGGTTAGAGACCTTGAACGACATGGCTCAGAATCGTTTGCAATGGTGGGCACAGGTACATCCACTGTTTGTGTTCTATGAAATTCCAAGCTTCTGCATTCCTCATAATCTCTACCTTTCTCGTTCTAAATTTATCTCAATGAATTATACTTCTCGAATCATATCTTCGCTCCCTAATCTTCTCCATAACTGCTAGTACTTCTACTATCACTATCACTCTTGGATTTGAACTGACAGTTACGTCTGTGTGCTGATGTGGTATGGCAACCTGAACTGATGTACTTACGTACGAAGTTCTGCGTTGTATCTGTCTGTCTGTCAATCTATGTTCTGATAGTTTTGCTTTATTGTCGTTTCTCATCCTCTCGCTCCCTTTATTTGCATATTTGTATTTAAAGAAACTAGATAAGATATTCTAGTGCTTACTATTTTTTAATTTTCAGTAAGTATTAAATAGTACAAAAGCAAAATAATGATAACAATGCAACTTCATATTCAACGATAACTCATCTTTAAATCAGAAGTATTAGGCCAAACTTTGAGATATTATTTAACTATTGAATGTTGATTATAGACAATACACGGTGTAATATAAAGAAATACCTTGATTTATAAACTTAATTTTTAAAAAAATTTGAATTTTTGGAAAGTTAGACACAAAATAATGAAGTTAACGATAATAATCCAGTGACTTTTGTTAGATTTTTGTCAATACAGCTTCAGTTTGGATCTTATCTTTTCTTTGATGAGTTCAGTTAAAGAAATATACATCACTTCTTGTGAACATTCGGAAGAAATATAATTTGTGTCTAACTTTTTAATTGATCTGCTATATTCAGTGGATTTGGATGACTTCGACTTCGTTGATCACCTCGCTCTTGTATCTCACATACAACAATAAATGCAAGAGAAGACAGCAGGTGTAACAACAGCCGTTACAGAAGTAGGCCCTAACATACACAGGATAAAAAAGCAAAATTCTCTGATTCAGCACAACGTGCGCCAACCGAATTACACTTAATGGAGAATCTTTGAAAGATGTGGAAACCTTTGCATAACTAGTGAACATCACTGATAAACCAGTTGGATCGGAAGTAGACAGGAAGATTCGGTTTGGCAAAGTAACAAATGCTATTCCACGATTGAAAAACATCCGGAACTCAAAAGAACTAGCAACCAATACCAAAATGACACAATTTTCAACCCCAACACCAAGACCATTCTATTGCGTGGAGCAGAAACTTAGAAAACGACGGAAACCATCATCCACAAGATACAGGTGTTTATTAACAGTTATCCACACAAGATACTGAGGATCGGTTTGTTGAATACGTATATTTTGGCACACCACAAATAGATCAGCAAACTACAAGCAGGCAAACTAGCGAGCGAATGTGCGAATGGGTGAATGTAAGCGAATTCAAATATATGTGGAGGCACTACAGATTAACCAGATACCATCAGCAACAACCTACTGTTGAAGAGAACAACCCAGATTTTAGCTGAGTAAGAAATAAAGAAGAAGCCCTGGAGATGAATAGAGCACACGTTGAGGAAAGCATCCAAGTACGTCACGAGACAAGCCCTTATCCAGAATCCTCAAGGCTAAAATGAAAGTGGAAAACCAAAGAACTTACTGCCAAGAGAACTGGAGGCAGACGTGAAAAGAATGAACAGCGGTTGTTTAGAACTGGAAACGAAGGTCTATTTTCGAGTTGGTTGGAGAATGCTGGTCAGTGTTAGTTATAAAACGTCTTTTTTTTACAATCTAGTGAATAACTCATGATTTAGGTGAACATAATCTTGGCTTAGTAAAATCTGCCGTAGTTTTTAACTAAGGATGATCTGGATTATTCTAACATGAAACAGGATTTAATGAAAACTCAAAAACACATCAAATGTCAGGTAAAACTCTTAATAATTGATATACAATGAAATACAAGCTCATAGAAAGAGCATGAAAAGAGGCTCAATTTTCATCGAGGACAAAATTACAGATGAAAAATACTGTATAAATGGCAATAAAACATGTGTTTATGACACGGTAAAATCAGAAAACAAAATTTCGTATCAGCTAATCAGGCATCAACAAGGCGGCAACATAAACTGTAGGAATTGTAAGGTTGGTTTATTGTGGTGGTGTTTCGTTCTCTGAGCTGGTTGTTTTGGTTGTGGAGCTTTCACTGTTCTTCTGAAGAACAACATCAGCACAAACTTCAGATAGAAGTGATGCACACAAACCAACAGAATCACTTCAATCAATCCTATGTAGACCAAAATACAAAATGACAAAGGAAGAAAAACCAAATATCATCTACAATATAAATTGCTCAGACTGTGAAAAACACTATATAGGACAAAGTGGACAGCCTCTTCAGCTTCGTTTACGTGAACACGAATTAGCAGTCATACGCCACGACAACACCTCGCTTATATCAATACATACCGACAATTATAGACATACATTCGATTGGGACAGTGTGGAAATACTGGGTAGAGGGAAGACAAAGAACACTAGAGAATTTTTTAGAAGCTTGGCACTCAGGTCAATCAGCAATCAACAAACACATCTACATTGACCCAAATTGTCAACCAATCAGAAAAATAATAGGTGACATAGGATCAAGAAACAGATCAAAAGGGGGATGCAATCAAAACAAAGGTGAAAACAACGACAGGTTTAAGGTCAACAGCAACTAATCAAGATCGAGGTTAGCAGAACAAGCTACAGGTCAAACGTGAAGAAATTCGAATGCTTCACTTCTATCTGAAGTTTGTGCTGATGATGTTTTAGTTCAGCAGAAGAACAATGAAAGCTCCACAACCAAAACAACCAGCTCAGAGAACGAAACACCACCACAATCATACATCTCCACCATCTCAAAGTTGGTTTATTGCTAGAAAAAATAAAGAGATAATAACGAACAAATTACCAGATAACTTCAGGTCTTCCTATCATCACCTTATGAACTCGTTTGCACAAAAAAAAAACAAATACGCACAAAGTAAATACCTTCAAAATCGTTTAGTATCAATCGCTTCAATAAATCAAAGAATTAGAAACCATACCTTGTAAAATCAAAATAGATACTTTGAACAGTTGATAGTAAATAGCTTTTAAAGCTTAGTATAGAAAAATTGACAAGAGCACATTTCTACGTTTGTGAAATATTTCATCAATAATGTGCACAAAATAATTTATTCAAATCTTGAATTCGACCAAGAAAATAGCCTACTCAAATATATTACATTTTTCAAATCAATTCAGCATTCTCATAGTACTATTTCGACTTAGAAAAAAACAATATATTATTCTCATTAAATAAAAAAAATACACTGTTCACTTAAACACTGAAGTCATACTTTTCATCCAGTCATATTAGTTGACCATATTTATTCAATGTATTATCAGCCTGCATTAGTGAGCGCAGGTAATTTGCATTACGGGGTTGTGAAGATTGTTAAGTTACACATTTTTGAAACCATGAATCGATCAATGTTAGACCACCATTAGAAACCTGGAAGCACTGAAACACGGCCGTCAAGTCCTGGTATGGGACTCTTCACCAGTGCACATCCATGACTCCTGCACCCCACAGGATTCGAACCTAGGACCTTCGGTATTGTGCGCGAACGTCTAAGCATCGGACCACTGAGCCGGTATCTAACGGTCTTAATATCTAACTTGATCAATTCACTGAGTTGCGCAACCTCATACACAGTCTTTGATAGTTACTGTCTACACCCGAACAGATTGAACTTCACAGTGGTCACGTCTTCCCACAAGAACTCGGAAAACATTCCTCA